GGGGGGGGGGGTGACCTGGTCCCTGCTTAGAAAAATGGAGGCAAATAAATTGTTTCGCTTTGTCACCTGGTGCAATGAGCAGCTTGCCTAGCGTGCCTTGCGGAGGCCCCACGTTACCCCATACCTTCTTTTTTACCCCCTTTGTATTTAAAAAAGGACTTCTTGTTGTCCTTAATCCAGGTAGTTAGTCCCAGTTCCATCTCCATTTCTTTGTTGCAGGGCTATAGCACGTCTGGCCAATATTGATGAAGAGATGTTACAGAAGGCAGCTAGAGAAGCAGACCTAATACTGGACCATGAAAAGGAGTGGAAGCTAGGCAAGTGCATTCTGAGGTTCCCTGAGATTCTGCAGAAGATCTTGGACGACCTCTTATTACACACGCTCTGTGACTACCTCTACGAGCTGGCCACTACCTTCACAGAGTTCTACGATAACTGTTACTGTGTGGAGAAAGACAGGCAGACTGGTAAGTGCCTGCACGCAGAAGCTTGGGATGTTGCTTGGGGGTGGGGTGAGGAAGGTCAAGTTCAAAGGTGTCAAAAAAGCATTTTACTTTTCTCTGGGTAAAGGTCTTCTGAGCCCCACAGGTGTCTTCATAATGAGGCTGGAGCTGGGTTTGAGGAGCTCTGCCACCCTTTGTCCTATGGCCTATTTCAAAAACCAGAACCAGGATAGCTGCTGCTGCTGCTGCAAACATTTCCCTTTTCTCTCTACTTCTAGAAAAAGCAGTCCCCTGGAGTAGGAAGGAATCTAGCAATCCCCCCCTGGCTAGAATACCCTCCCCCTATGCTGGAAGGACATCTCCCTTCAGATCCTTCCTCTGCCTCAGCTGAAGTAGGGATTTGAACTGAGTTTTTCCACATACCACAGAAGTGTCTTCACCACCAGGCTACAAGGCCAGTCTCTCTGTGGCCCAATGGAATCACTTAGCAAGGGGATTTGGGGACATACTGAGCTGCAGCAAATTGTCAGGACTAGCTCTAGGACATATTTGTGCCCATGTACATGGACAAATACAGATGTCTTCAAGGGAAGCCAGCAGGGATTTTTGACTGAGTGTTCTAGCATAACAAATTACTTCAGGAAGAGCAAGACAGTCTGAAAAAGACAAACCTGAATGGGTCATTTTCCCCTTTCTTTTTCAGGTAAGATAGTAAAGGTGAACATGTGGAGAATGTTGCTCTGTGAAGCCACTGCTGCAGTCATGGCAAAAGGGTTTGACATCCTTGGGATCAAACCCGTTCAGAAGATGTAAGTTTCAGCACTTGAACCTCTCTCTTTTTTACATGGCTACAGAAAAACTCTTGTGGCAGTTCTGTTCAACCCCAATCTAAAAATAAAACAAGATTGCTAAGGTTGTGTGGCCTCTGGTTTGTATACTACACCATACACACAAATAGTCTCTTTTCCAATGTGGCATGTCTTGTGAAGACCCCTGTCTTGTACTGTTTGTAGTAGCATTGTAAATACGTATTCAAGGTGAAGGTTGCTGTCGTTCCCCCCCCCCCAGCAGATAAAAATATAAAAACAGTGGAACGTGTTTTCATGCTGCACTTTTATTGGAGGTGCTTTGTCTGAGCTATTAGAGTCTTAACATTCCAGCCAAAAGCATTCACAGGAGAGATACAAGACTTGTTTGTAGATATAAATCTTTGCAAACTACTTAAACATTCAGTCTTGAGAAATGGAAATGAGTTAAGTTTACTACTTTGGAAAGGCACACCAACAGGAAAACTGCCCAGGTTGGACTTGCTACAACACTAAGCTTTGTAAGTTAAGGTCAATCCATGGGCATGAAACAAGGAAGTTGCATTCAGCAGATGTGATCAGTTTAATTGTGGCTCAGTTACTTACCATCCTACTAAAAAAACATCTCTGTGTCACCAATTAGCTCCAGTTTCCTTCTCTCCCCTTTTCTTTTAATACACTCTTATTAAAGGCTCTGGGCTGAAGG